AAAAACAAAAAAAATAAAAATAAAAAAATAAAAAACTATTCTTCGATTTGCAATTTAACCTGTCCCACTACACAAATAATCTAATTGTTTAAATAACACTAATTCCGTTTGTTTTCAAGTCGGCGTAAAACAAATAATGCAAGTAAATAATGCTATCATCCTAAAATCGATGTAAAATAACTTGAGCAATAAATATTATTATTATAGTTAGACCTACAAATTAAAATCACAAAGTATCCTTCTAATTCAAGAATATTCTTATTAATATTACTAAGATTCGGAGAAATCACTTGGTGTTCTTGCGAAGTTCATGTCTAATCTTTTGTTATTCTGACCCAAGTTTTTATTTTAACTAAGACCTAGAGAAGTCAACGTGGTGTTCTTGCAAGGTGAATCGGTTAATACTTTTCTTTTCTCTGATTTAAATTCATTATTCCAACCCAGGTCCAAAGAGGTCAACGTGGTATTCTTACAAAGTGCAACGACTAATGCTTTTTGCTCTTTCTGATCCAAGTTTATTATTCCAGAACGTCCAACGTAATATTGTTGCAAAGTGCATCACCTAATGCTTTTCGTCCTTCTGATCCAAAATTATTATTATTCCAACTAAGATCCGGAGGAGTCAACGTAGTATTTTAAGTTTTCATTCTTGATCCAAATTCATTATTCAAAGATTCAGAGAGGTCAATGTGGTGTTCTTGCAAAGTGCATCAGCTAATGCTTTTTTTTCTTATCCAAGTTTATTATTCCAAAACGTCAATGTAATATTCTTGCAAAGTGCATCACCTAATACTCTTCGTCTTTCTGATCCAAAAAATTACTATTCCAACTAAGATCCAGAGAAGTCAATGTAGTATTTTAATATTTCATTCTTCTGATCCAAATTCATTATTCTAAGGTTCAGAGAGGTCAATGTGGTGTTCTTACAAAGTGCATCGGCTAATGCTTTTTTTCTTTCTTATCCAAGCTTATTATTCCAGAACGTCAACATAATATTCTAATATTCTTGCAAAGTGCATCACCTAATGCTCTTCGTCCTTCTGAGCCAAAAAATTATTCCTATTCCAACTAAGCTCCAGAGAAGTTAACGTAATATTTTAGTTTTTCATTCTTCTGATCCGAATTCATTCTAAGGTTCAGAGAGGTCAACGTGGTGTTCTTGCAAAGTGTATGGGTTAATACTTTCCTAATTATAACCTAAAAATAGGCTGTTAACGGTTTTGTAAGTTTGTATGATTAAGTGGTTTTAAATAGTGCAGAAGTTTACCTCTTTGTAGTAGAAATTTTTATGAGAAATCAAAGATCTTAATTATTACTCATTCCTACGAAACATGTTGCAATATTGAAAGGCTATTCGAATCTTTAGCATCATGATAAGAGATGATTTGAAATCTTTCTATGGCAATATACGAAGACAGTGGAAACAGGATTATCTCATTATTTAGATTCAATAAAAACAAAGAATTTTTTAAACGCGGATTACATGTACCAAGTGATCGGCCAATCACATGAAATTAATTGTCTAACATCAGTTCTGTATAATCGCGTAAAATTATGTCTTCTGATTCAAATAAGTTACCCCAGGCTACCGTTGAGTGTTCTACTGAAGACGATGATAATGCTAACGAACACGGTGAAATGTATGTATATAAGCAGTAATATATAATTACGCGCTCTTTTTATTCTTACGCGTTTTTCTTTTTAAATTAAGGGGTGCGATGGTCGATAGATTGCGAAGTAGTCTTGAAGGTGTGCAAAATTCTTTTAGCACTATATATTCTGTAAGTATTGGGCAAACTTTAAGTAAATCGTAATGAGTCACGTTAATTGGAATTCTTATTGTTCTTTAAGGCCTTGGCAATAAATTTAAGACAATCATTTGAAATGGTACAAGCGATGAACTCGATGATGGAGCAGCTCCTATTGTCCAATATTCGTATTAGTAAGTAGGATTATTTGTTAATATCTAATATAATCAAATAATTAAGATTATGCAAACAACAGAAATAGATATACAAGAAGATTCCATTCCTTGTCTTTTAACTATAATCATATCCAATACGTGCCAATTTCCTGCACAAAAAGCATCTTGTAATCTGATGTTTCAGAAGAAGGGTGAAGACGAGGTAATGTTACATGAATATAAAAATTCTTTTTATTTCATATAATTCGGTACTTAAGATTCATTTTATATAGGAAGCAATTGTTAAAATTGAATGCATAGACTCTATAGTTCAAGGAAGCAAGAATTCCAACAACTCTAATTCAAGGTATGGAATTTACACTTTACTATTGTATTGTATAAGTAATACGTAATGATTTTTGGATGTAATTATGTAATAATTGTAATAATTGCAATAATTCGGTAGGTTAAAATCTTCATCCCCCTTGTCGATATTTGTGCAAAAATCGTGTGTTGGATCATCAACTTCCGATGCCTTGTTTACATTACCACCACAAACACAAATAATTGAAAAATTAAAGTTAATTCCGTCTGAACTTGCTCAAGTAAGATTTAACTAACCTGCATGGAATGTTTTGCTAATTCGTTATCATACATCTCTAATATTATTTATTTATTATATTATCAAGTATAATGGTAAGATTTCCTTGGAGTTTCCGAGTCCTGGAACCGGCAAACCTCTACAAAAAGAACATTCCTTTGATTTATGTCTAACTAAATGAAATGTCATGTGATCATTCGTTTATGGGATGTTATTACATTGTGAAGAAACCTCTTAATGAGCATCATTTATATTCGCACATAAATTTTTCAATAAAATATATAATCTCTTGACAGTTAAGGGATAAATAATGAGTTCGCAAAATTTTCACGTGATTTTTGAAACAAGGGAACGTCAAAAATTCTATAGTTCTAAATTGATCGTTTATATTAGATTTATATATCGATATACAGTATATAGATCAAAAATAAGTATAATTTTTTACAATGACTCAAGAGATGCTTGATACAGTGTTGAAAGATATCTTTCATACGCTTTAGGATGCTAACATTAAAAGTTCACTTGATCGGAAATTTAAGAACACCGTATATTACCGAAAATAAGCAACTCAAATTTTAGAACTGAAAATTTAACGGTTATTTTTTTAATAATAAAATTGAACCCGGAAATAAAACAACCTCCTTAAAAAGTCCTTTTTTTGCAACATTTTGGTCGCTTATTTTTGGTAAAGATTGTCGTAAATAAGAATTTGCTGCTGAAATTAAGTCACAATTTGTGATGCAACTCTCATTCTAATGTGTTTTACTTCTTGGTGATATTTGCTAGGCTGTTTTGGATGAACTTTGTAAGTTTGTTGAATCTAGTAGCGAACCATATAAACCTAAGAAAGTTGCAAACAGTACTACGTATAACGTTTATTAGTTTCCAGAGCAATGGTAAAACGGCAACTGTATAAAGCGCAGTATATTTATTTCGGTTTTTTTCACAGGACAATTCTTCAAAAATCCAACTTTTCTCATTTTTAATAGCACATTTTTATCGACGCAAAATTTGAAAGTATACCTAATATGTGTTGATACGCTACGTAGTGCATTTGACCAAAACAAAATGCTACTACGTAAGGCAAAAATATTGTATCATGGAAGGTTCATTAGCCAAATTTTTTATTTCAGAATCTTATAAACTATATTGTTGTTATTATTATCAAAATGTTTTATACTTATTTTGGCTACATTGAAACTGATCCTTTTCAGATAGTCCACTAAAGTGTTAAAGAATTTTAAAAGTTGGATTAGTTATGTCGGAAAATTCGGATGATCGAAAATTCGGATAATATTAATTGAAAATTTATTAGTTTACACATATTGAATTACAAATTCGTGTAACATGCCGTCAATTAAATTTTTACAAACGAAAAATTAAACCCACTCTTATGGTTAGGGTAAGATTGGGTTTGGAATTAGGCAAGATATAGGCCTATACCCAAATTTCACAAGGAATTTTTTTTTTGTTATAATCAAAATTTTGAGATGTTTATATTGTCCGTGTACAAATAGAAATTCACATATTAATTATATGTTCACATCGGTGTGTTTGTTTCAACCCCAAAATCAACCAATCATGATTGAGAGTTATCATATATTTAAAATTTATTACAAGACGAATTTTCATAATACTGTAATAAGCCAAAAGTAAGTTAAAAGGTCAGGTGCGTACGTACAAAAAATTTGTAAGTAATCAGGTTACAATCAGGTTACAATCAGGCACATACGTACAAAAAATGTAATTTATATATAAAAATTCGGAAATATCGATATCAATATGCTTTCACAATACGTTTATTTCAACCTAATGATAATTTCAATACCAAAATTAATCTAAATATATATTAATATATAAGATTTTATATTATTAGTATTATTATTATTATTATACTGTAAAATCCAAAATTTTTTTTAATAATAAAATTTCTGACTTATAACAATTAAAGATACCAAAAAAAAAATAAAATCTTTTAGAAAAAATATCAGATACGTATACTATTTACAGTATATATATATAGCTATATATATAAAAAGCTCGCTACTTTGCCATTACTTCCAACTACATATATTGGCAAGTTATTAAAATTTTGGCAAGGCAGGCAAGGTTTTAAATAACCTTGCCAACCACCCTAGTAAACCCCAAAAATTTCCAGGCTCCCGGACATGATCTATTATCACGTAGAACTAGTTGCAAAAATATTTAGACGCTGATTTTTAGGTATATGAAAAGCCGCCATCAACTTTTTTTGTACATTTCAGTAACCAAGTGATCTAAATTTTTCGGCAAGATTTACCATATTTGCATTTTTGTTTTGAATATAATTCCATACTTTTCTTGGTTGTCGCTAAAGCCCTGCGCGGGCCTAAAAATTTGTATTTTTGCCAGCCGCAAAATAAAATTTGCTATATTTTTTACAAGTTCGGTTCGCAATTTACTATGTTTTTGAGACACCAGACCCGCAATTTTGAAAGGTTTTTAAAATTTTCAAATATCGGCCCAGCCCGTGCAGGCCTCTAGTTGTCGCTCACTTGCATTTTTAGACGACATGCAAATTTGTAATGGTAATAAAATTAAGGCAATAAATAATTTATACGTACATTTTTGATACACCTAAATGTGGCCTAAAATTTCTCCGGCTTGATATAATCACGTGATTATTGATATAAAAAATTAGGTGTATCAAAAAAGTAGGTGCAGGTGCATCAAAATCGTAAAACTTGCAAGGTAGCGGTAGGGATGGTTAAAAATTTATATGTTTTAACCAGGGCAGCAAAAGGTTCATGTGATTTTGAAGTTTTAATCTGGAAAAATGATTTTACTCGTGAATAAGTCTCCTAGCATAATAAAAAAAAGCATTCTTCCCAACGATACCAAATTCCAGATATCCCAACTCTTTTTTCTTTAGCTCCTCATTCAATCCCAAGTGATTAAACTCGAATTTTTTCGTTACAAATTGACCATAAACCGTTCAAGAA